TTTTTCCTGAGAATTTACAGAAAGGAATCCTTTACTTTCCGTCTTTTCAGCTCCAGCATTCGAGCATCTCCTGGTCGAAAAGCGAGGAGAAGCTAACAATGTGGGTTTGATCACTCTGAACCGTCCCAAGGCTCTGAATGCCCTGTTCGATCCACTCATGGTGGAAGTTAATCAAGCTATGAAGCAGTTAGAGGAGGACCCAACAATTGCAGCTATTGTGCTGACGGGTAGTGAAAAGGCTTTTGCAGCAGGTATGTTTGTTTGTTATTTCTTCTTCCTCTTCCTCTTCCTATTCCTCTTCCTCATCTTCTTCTGATTCCTGTTCCCTTTATGACTGCCATGACATATTAAACAGTATCTACAAGGAACCTGTAGGTTGATGAATTCTAAGAAACCTTTTATCTTTTTCTTACACAGATTGAAATGAAGGTTTTTTAATAGAGAAATATGCTGCTTGAAGCAGCTGATTTGACCTTCACCCAGATTTGATAAACAATTTACCCATACAATTTATTAGATTTAATATTAACCACTCAGTGACGTGTATGGCTGTAGACATTATGATGTAATCATATATTGTGTGTATACTTGTCATGACTCACTCGAGTGAGTAAGCAATTGGGCTGGCTCACACAGCACAAACTTGCAGAAAGACTAAACTGTTGCATAATGATTACCTCATGGAAAAGTTTGGCCCTGTCAGTATAGGGTTAAGCAGGTAGGTAATTTATTAGGAAAGAAAACCACCTGTTGGCAAGAATGATACTTGGATGTACTTTCCTTATAAACAATCAAAATTATCAATAGATCATCAGGCTAATTTTTAGTTAGGAAAGTTTCGTTTTATCCTAGATAATTTAAGTGCATCAAAGGTCTCGATGCAAGAGGCTGCATTGATGCTGTTGATATATATTGATGAGTCACCTTGGAGATGTTTTGGCAAATGATGAATCATTCCAAAATCTGTCTTGCTAAAATATACCTGAGAACGTTTTTTGGCATTTGCTTGAGCACAAATCACAGAACTTTAGGCTGTATGGATAAGCTTCAACAAAAGCATTTATTCTTTATTCTTTAACTCGCTAAATTTCTACAGAAATCTTGTGCATATATTACAGTTCCCCTCTTTTTATTGATTTCATTTGATTAGATGTAATTTAAAGTATATAAGAAATCAAATATCTTTGTGAGTAATGGTGTTATATTCTTAAGATTTGTCTGGGTAGGTATCAAATGACACATGGTCTCAACCTAAAGATTCTATTGCTCACCACCTCCCTCTTTGCTAGGAATAGTTCAGCTCTTAATCACACAGAGCAACAGAGAGGTTCCACCTCCTAAGAATAGAAACCATAAACCACTTAAGTCAATGAGTAGTTCTGATCAGCTATGAATGACAAAGAAGTCTCAACTTAGAGCTCCATACTGGTAAGAGTTAGGGGTGGGATAATAGGGGGGAATTATGAGGAGAGGGCGGAATTTTTTGTTTTGACTGTGAGATATTAATGCCATTCACTTCGACACACATAGGCTTTTCTATCATACCTCAAGGCCACATAATGATGGATATGGCAGTCTTGATGACCCAAAATTGTCTATAATCTGGCTATTGTCAGTAGGACATGTAGATTACATTCTTGAATTAACTAGGAATTTGATGGAAAAGAGAGGGTAGTTAAGAATTGCTTATAATACATACAAATTCAGACAGTTTCAAACTCATATTTTTGTATCAAGTTGCAGGTGCTTCTTTTACAATGTAGTTTTAACATGAAATTGCAGGAAAGTTTGCTTTTTCTCTGATATCTGTCTTCATCAGGTTCAGATTCAGGATGCAAATAGATTTAAAAGATATTACAAAAGTGCATCAGCTTTTAAGATTTTTCATTCAATTGAATCTTTTATCAAATTTCAGGTGCTGATATCAAGCAGATGCAGAATAAGGAGTATGTTGAATGCTTTGGGTCAAACTTCCTGGAGCACTGGAACGGAGTCACAAAGATCAAGAAGCCAGTCATTGCCGCAGTGAATGGATATGCTCTGGGTGGTGGTTGTGAGCTGGCAATGATGTGCGACATCATCCTTGCCGGAGAGAAGGCAAAGTGAGTTTTCTCTTTCTTCCATTTGTATTTATTGTTTGTGAATATTTTTATTGTTTTTGTTTTTTTAGGTTTAACTTGAGTACTGATTGTTTTTTCTTCAAAGTATACTAATTATTTTCATTTGGGTTTTCTAATGAAAGAATTCAAGGACACAAGTTTCTGTTTTAGTGAAGCAGTTTAAAAGAAATATATATATAATTATGTTTTTTTTTGTTTATATAGGTTTGGCCAACCTGAAATCATAATTGGCACCATCCCAGGAGCAGGTGGCACCCAGCGCCTGACAAGGGCCATTGGCAAATCACGTGCCATGCAGATGTGTCTTACAGGAGAAATGATCACAGCACAGCAAGCAGATGCCTGGGGTAAGAAATCTTCAATTATAGATGTTCGTAAGGAAGCATAAAATTCATAGGATAAATTGGTTAGAAATTCAAGTGTTTGTGAAATTCACTTTATTTCTCCTTTTTTAATTCTTTTTTCTTTCTTTTCTTCTTTTCTTTGCTTTTTATGCATGAAAAATAGTCTCTTTTAAGACATCACGACTTGCTTTTTGGCTTGACCATGGGTAAAGTTATTGATATAATATTGTTTAAATGGTTTTATTAAGATAAACCTTGCCTGCACTTTAAATCTCCACAAAAAATTTAATGAGGCTGCAGAGTAATAAAAAGGCTACTTTTAGAATATAGGAAGAGTATGTTCTAACCGAGATCTTGGTGTAGACGAGTTGATGAACGCAGATAGAACCTATCATTACTATAGGAAATGAGAAGGATAAAGGGATGACAGCATCTGTTAGATGTATATTTAATATGTATTTCAACTGCAAAGATACTTCAGATTCATGATTCTTATCTCTTTTTGTAGGACTTGTCAGTTCTGTTCACCCCCCTGACCAACTAGTTAATGAGGCAATCAAACTTGGAGAAAAAATTGGAAAGCACTCAAAACTTGTGGTTTCCATGTGCAAAGAGGCCGTCAACAAATGTAAGTATTTTATTTTGTACCCTAGTAATCGGCTATTTGTTTTTGTCAGAGTAAACTATGAAGGATTTCTTTATGATTTTCTTAATTCTAGTTACATTACCTAGGTGCTATGTGTGTCAGATTTGGAATATTTGTTTTTGTCAGAGTAAACTATAAATGATTTCTTTATGACTTTCTTAATTCTAGTTACATTAGGTGCCATGTGTGTCAGATTTGGAAGTAATATTTTGGTCTTTTGCAGCTCAAGAATTATCCTTGAATGAGGGACTCCACTTTGAAAAGCGCATGTTCCATGGGACATTTGCCACGGTAAGTGTTTGGAAAAGCATAGTTTATTCAAGCATTTGTGTGTTATGATTATATTTATCAAAGGAAAATTGACTTAAAAGTATATGGTTCTCATTTTATGTTGATATTAACCCATTGCCCTCGGGAAAATGTGGTGTTCACATTAGTTTTGTTTTATGAATGTCTCTGCCAGTGCTTAGCCACAGAGGAGTCACTTGATTTCACTTTTCCTTGAGTTTGTGGGAAAATGCCTTTTTTTTCTAATGCTACCAATATTAATACTGTTGTTTTTAGTATAAACTTCATAATTCCTATAACATTGTTATTACTAACAGCAGTATTAAATACCAGAAAATATTTTCAAAGATCAAGGAAAAGGGTAAACAGATGAGATAGGTAGTTCTTGCCATCTATATGTAAAGTCAGTTACTAAATTGTACATACTGTGGGCATGGCATGTACACACATGCCATCCCCAGTGGCATGTGGTTAAAATATAATTTCTACGAAATCATATATTAACCAACACTGATAGTACAGAAACCATTAAAAGAAGGATAGAAAACATGAAAAGACTGATAATTAATTGAGAAGGTTAAACAATTCCACATTTTCTTATTACAGAATGACCGCAAAGAAGGCATGACAGCCTTTGTTGAGAAGAGATCACCAAACTTCACAGATAGCTAAAGTAAATTGAAAGGTAAGATCACTTTCTAATGAAAACCTTGCAGTATAAGGTATTCCACATAAGGTGATTTTCTTGTTCAAAATCTTGTTGTATTACATATTGCTTTGAGTCTCGAATGTTCTTTCCTTGTTCAACTGTTTTAATAAACATAGAGTTAAAAAGAAAAAGTGACTCGTTCATTGTAGACATATGAATTGTTGTATATCATACCTTTTTTGTCATTCAGCATTTTAATTCTGTTTTCTTTGCAGGATTCATGTGTGGTTGGGCTGATATTTGCAATTGTATATTAACCGTGTAGCAAATTCCTGCATAACACAAGGGACCCAAAAATTTTAGACAAGTATGAGTTAGGTGATTTGTTTATCATAGATGTGTGAATGACTTAACTTTTTGGAATAAAAAAAAGAAAATGTCAGTTCTTTTTAATTAACCTTTGCAAGAGTAAAGATACAAAATCTATCTATCTCATTATTGATTCTCATACCTTAGCTGTGTTTTGTTCTTGAGATGGTAAATCACCAATATTTATTTCAAATTCATGTAACAATAACATAGATTTTGAATTTAGCAATTACAATATTTGTCACAAAACTTTCTGGAACAAATTTATAACATGGAACATGGCACTGCCATATTCCTACCAGTATTCAAACAAGATTATTAATAGCATTTTTATTATTACTTTTATTCTTTTCAGTAGATAAATTATTATATTACAAAATACCTTTTTATATACAGAAGAACAGTTAATTTAAACAATGTATGCAGTGCAAATAATCCCAAAATCCACAATTTGGCATTATGGACTGACTAGTATTTCACTATTTGAAATGTAAGATTATTTATTCTTTAGATTTGAATTCAATTAATCCAAAATTACAAAACAATGTTTTTTGGCAGAATTTGGAATGCATAGAAAATTGAGA